TCCTCAATTAAAAGTTTTGAGCTTGTACGGCGATCGTTTGTGGTAGTTAATGGCAGATTGTCATTGCGCCACACTGTCACAAGGGGGAGTTAGAACGCTGATTATGTTTTTTGTTTCTCTCCCTCTAAAAACAGAAAGAAATAATTCTAAATAACAAACTGGCTTTATTTACCACAGTGTGAAAGACTGATATCCCCCTATATAGAGTTTCTGAAACACGGGGTCCTTCTTTGCTGATGTAAAGAAGACACTGAATGAAAGAGATTCCAGCGAAGACAGGGAGGACAGGGAGGGGGAAAAGGGTTGCCCATATTTTCGAGACCTGAGCTATTTCATTTATTTATTAAATGTACTCGTTTATTTAGGCAATTTAATATATGTGTTTAGGCTTGGCCTATATAGTAGGCTATTTTGCAACATAAAGCTATATTTGCCTGCATAAAGCTGAGTGACTCACTCATTTGTGGCTTTGGATCAACCTTTTTTTCTGATAGTCTTTAATAAATACATGTTTTGAAAAAGTTAATATGCTCATGTTGTGTGTGTGTGTGTGTGTTCAATTATTTGTGACATTGTGGTTACAATGAAGAATGTACACGAACGCATCACTCTGCGCCAGATGGCCTCAAACTGCACCATTTTGTTTCTCTCCGTCGCCCACGCACTTTCAACATTTGGATAATAAAGCATTTAAATGCTGACATTGGTTGATTTTCAGTATTTAAGTATACATTTTTTTTCAAGGCGATTGATGAGAAAAGTATCTCACTGCACTGTTATATGCCATGTCTTGAAATATGCAGATAATTTCCATGATAATACTTCTGACAGCCATATTTCTAACTCCAAACATAACTTGTGGACTTTATAACATTCCCAGAAGGCATGGATTATTATAACATAATGAAAAATGAACTTGGTAATCTAATTTAATGCAGGCCTAAAACCTACGGCTTTAACCTTCTGAATGATTATATTGAAGATAGAAGTCACCTCTTACATTTTGCAGTCGTTCTTATCCAGAGCAATTTACAGTCAGTGAGTGCATACATTTTTCATACTGGCCGCCCGTGGGAATCGAACCCACAACCCTGGCGTTGCAAACGCCATGCTCTACCAACTGAGCTACACGGGGCCTCTTAATGAGTTCCGAGAGCCGATTAGTTACCCAACAAAATAACATCTATTTATTTAGCCTAATTGTTTTTATGACTACAGACAGTAGGCTAATATTCATTTTTTCCTGCCTTCTAATATCAGACAACAAATAAATATACTAAAACAATAACTTCAAAAAACAGTCCATTCATAACTAGATTTCTTCAAATTGCTGTGCAGGAAAAGGACGTCATCCCCCGTGCCTGGTCGCAGGCTCGCATCTGGCTTCTCTCTGAAACCACACATAAATCTGTAGGTGACGCCACACAATTGCCAGGTAGACAGTAGGCCTCTTGAAGCGATAGAGGAAATCAACAAGTTCCACAAGTATTGTTTCACAATAGCTGGCCTTATGTTATCTGCAGTTTTGAGCTGCACTGTCCCACTCCGTGGTGGATAACATCGACTCTTCATTTCTGTAATGGGCTGTAAAGCACAAGTATCCTATTTTTCGAAAATCGTCAGTCTACATGTCAAGTGTAATTGCGCCATTGTATTACCGAAGTTCTCTCTCAACTCCAGGAACACCCGCCAGCTGATTTTTGTTTGTTTGCCTAATGCAGGACTCTAGTGCAATAGCAGAGAGACTGACTGAAACATCCACACCTCCATTGATTTACAAAAGGATAGTCTAATAGCTTGGCTAGGTGTGAAAAATCCCCCAATTTGTGCCAAAATTTAGACTACCGATAGATGCTGCGGTCAGTCAGAGTTGTGTCCTATTGTAAAGTGTAGCATAATGGACAAAAAAGGGCAAACTTGCAATGTATTCGAGGCTTAAGTAATCTAAAGTTGTACATTTCTAACTCAATATCACAGACCAGATTTGCCCTAACGAAAAATGCATCAACCCCTACAAATATATTCATTTATTATAATCCACATAATAATTCTGACGAAATTAGCTGTAGCAAGAGGAGAGAGACTGCATACTAAAGACAATCAGAAAGAATGTGTCTTTAGCCCTGCATTATAATATAACTTATTTGGAACGAAAGCCAGGAATGAGTGAGTCACTCAGCCCTCTGCTTCTGTTCCTGTTGGCTATTTGAGTGTTTGTTTAATATCCTACTGATTCTGTGATCACCAAGCCTCATGCAAAATGTTGGATAAAGCAATTTCACAAATCCAGCTGTTTTTAAACTTTGTATTAAAGGCTTTACAATTTTTTTTCTTCATTAGAACAGACTCTCTGGTATTCTTTATTCTTTATTTAGTATTGTTTACACCATTCTAAACTGGAAGATAAAGTATATTGTAATCTAACAGCACCTGTTAGGCAAATCATGTGAATTCGGCCTCATGCAAAATCATTGTCAAAAGCGCAAGAGACACTGTTGCATGACAAAAATACTTATATCCGCTAGGCTAATAAATAATCAGATTTTTTAGCTGACTCTATAGCCACTCCTATCTGTCATATCTTTAATCTGAGCCTAGAGGAAAGTCTTTGTCCTCAGGCCAAGAGTTGTAATGCGGCCCTTACTGGTTCTAACAGCAGACCTATCAGATTGCTGCCAGCTCTTAGCAAACTGTTGGAAAGAATTGTTTTTGACTAAATACAATGATACTTCTCTGTAAACAAATTAACAACAGCCTTTCAGGATGCTTATAGAGAAGGGCACTCAACATGTACTGCACTGACACAAATGACTGATGATTGGTTGAAAGAATTGATAATAAGAAGATTGTGGGAGCTGTACTGTCAGATTTCAGTGCAGCCTTTGATATTATTGACCATATCCTGTTGTTGAGAAAACGTATGTGTTATGGCTTTTCAACCTCTGCCATATCGTGGATTCAGAGCTATCTATCTAATAAAACAGATGGTTTTCTTTAATGGAAGCTTCTCTAATGTCAAACATGTAAAGTGTGGTGTACAGCAGGGCAGCTCTCTAGACCCTCTACTCTTTTCTATTTTTACTAATGACCTGCCACTGGCATTAAACCAAGCATGTGTGTCCATGTATACTGATGATTCAACCATATACTCATCAGCAACCACAGCTAATGAAGTCACTGAAACCCTTAACAAAGAGTTGCAGTCTGTTTTGGAATGGGTGGCCAGTAATAAACTGGTCCTGAACATCTTTAAAACTAAAAGCATTGTATTTGGTACAAATCATTCCTAAGTTCTAGACCTCAGCTGAATCTGGTACTGAATGGTGTGGCTGTTGAACAAGTTGAGGAGACTAAATTACTTGGTTTTACCAAAGATTGTAAACTGTCATGGTCAAAGCATATAGATTCGATGGTTGTAAAAATGGGGAGAGGTCTGTCCGTAATAAAGAGATGCTCTGCTTTTTTGACACCACACTCCACAAAGCAAGTCCTGCAGGCTCTAGTTTTATCTTATCTTGATTATTGTCCAGTCATATGGTCAAGTGCTGCAAATAAATACTTAGTTAAGCTGCAGCTGACCCAGAACAGAGCGGCACATCTTGCTCTTCATTGTAATCAGAGGGCTAATATTAATACTATGCATGCCAGTTTGTCTTGGCTAAGAGTTGAGGAAAGACTGATTGCGTCACTTCTTGTTTTTATAAGAAACATTAATGTGTTGGAAATTCCAAATTGTTTGCATATTCAACTTACACACAGTACTGACACACACACTTACCCCACCAGACATACCACCAGGGGTCTTTTCACAGTCCCCAGGTCCAGAACAAATTCAAGGAAACGTATTATACAGAACCATGAGTGCTTGGAACTCCCTTCCATCTAATATAGCGCAAGTGAACAGCAAACCTGGTATAAAAAACAAATAAAGCAACACCTCACAGCACAATGCCTCTCCCCCATGTGACCTAATTGTTGTGTGTATGTACTGACATGTATGTGTAACTGCTAGATGCACACACACACTACATGTTCATGTTTTTCAATGTATGTAAATTGTACATTTGTCTGTAATGTATTTTTCGTTATATGTCTGTCCCCAGTAAGACTAGCTGTCGCCATTGGCATCGGCTAATGGGGATCATGATAAATCAAATAAAAATTATTCTTAGTCTTTTTTCTTCCTCTTCTTTGTCTTCGGTATAATGGAGTTCGCACAAATGTAATATGCATGCTGCCACCTACTGTAGCAGTTTTTTCGTCCATTTTGATAACAATTTCATATCAAAAGAGAACAAAAGAGGCCATCTAATAATAGCCCATGTATTGATAATTAAAGGAATTGAAAAACAAATGGTGCAGTTTGAGAAACCTTTATTAGATGTGGGCAGCTTGAATAACTGATTAATTTGATAGAACTGCACAAAATATATGTTTAAGAAAAAGGGATCACAATCTCTGGATTATGAGATAATATATTTTTTAATGTGTGTGCACCAAAGTATTACAAGTAAATATTGTAATTGTATTGTATACCAAACAAACCATTATTAAAGGTAGACTCAGCGAAATGACATTGCCACGAGCAGCACCGGAGATATTGAGATGAGCGAGATGCAACACTTCACACTGTCAATCACAGTATCTGCGCATGTGCACGGGTTCGCTTCACGCTGTTAACAGCGTGGTAGCCAGGTCACCAAATCAGTGTAGAAGTTGAGCCTCGCGTTTCAATGCTCTTAGTTGTTGTGGAAATTGACCCAATATGCTGTTTACTTTCTGCAGCTACGTCATATCGCTGAGTCTACCTTTAATTCAGATGATCTATTGTGCACTGTAGCTTATAGATGTGGAACTACAGACCAAGAAGAAAGGTCATAAACAGAGAGCACCATGCCTGACATACAAATGTGATTCTACTATACAAAATGAGAACCAAATTCAACACAATCCATACATGTTTTGTTTTTTTAATGATTGGGAAAAAGAAAAACATGTATTTATTTAGTGGGCATGTACACACTCTGCAGCTTCTGCCAACAGTGTATCAGTGCCCTGATGAGTCTCATCCTCTTCTTCTTCTTTCTCTTTGTTCTCTGGGAAGTCACACACGGAGCTGCTCTCTTCTGTCTTCTCACCTGAAAGAAAGCAAAGGCAAAACACTGAATATCCATCTAATGTCATTACGTCGTTGTTGACTGATAATACCTCATTTATTCATGTTTATTATAATTATAAAAAATGAAAATGTAAGTGACAAAAAGCCCTGTCTTTAAGAGTGGCCTCACCAGGTCAGTGTGTCTGCAGTTCTGTCTGATCAGCTGTTCCATCATCTCCACTGGCTTCTCCATGCCCCCCTGTTGTCTAATGCCCTGCCCGCGGCCCTGGCACAGGAACTGCTGCGTCATACCATGGATGGAGCGCAAAACGTGCTGCACCTGCCATTATGAAGCATAGGAAAACAGTGCGTTAGGCCTACTGTCAAATAAGAGATACACATAGGAGATACATGTTGTTTAATGCTTGTGTTGTCATCAGACACACATTTCTATTGTATACCTTCAATCAATCATTCATTCAGTAAATCAAACAACCAAATCAAGTTCTTATTGTAGTATAAGACAAGCCCATAGGTGTAATTGTTTTCACAGAGGGGCATTAGGTACATCCCCTGTCCATGGTTCTGAAACTGGAGGGTCCCATTCGGTACAGATGGTCTCTCTTTCACACATACACACACACACACTACCTTTCCTGAGGGACAACAGTCCCTCTCTTTGGATGTGTCAAAATTGCCCGTCAGATTCTGTTCCAATAAAGCAAACAAACTGTTAGACAATAAAATAATATAACATTCATAAGGCAAACCAGTGGAGGGCAGTCAAAAACAAGTATTCACTGTACAGATACACCCACTTCTCCAAGTGAGGGTGCCAACTGCATAATATTATAGGGTGGCTCAAACTATAGTGTCAGACTTATTGAATACGTTTTGCTCAAGTGTAAGTTTTGCACCTGACATTTTCCAGGGACAATATAAAAGGTAGAACAAATTAATACAGATACAATTGAACGAATGGTTAAGTGTGAGATAAAGCCAGTTTGGTTTTGTGAACAGTAGGCTAACACACTTTGACGTTCTGAAGGCCCACATACCAAATTCTGAAGTTCAACGAAGATGAGTTCTCTGTATGAGTCGAGTATCTCCGAGTAGTTGCACCTGCGCTTACTGTAGGAGACACCCAAGAGCAGAAACACCACGACGCTACGGAGCACAGGCCCGCTCACACACTGAAACATTAAGTAGTGTATGAGTTAGGACATACCTGGCAGTTAGCTTGTTTTAATTAAAGTTTAATGTATAGCACAGTTGTGGATGGGGTCCATTCATGTAAATAAAATGTAAAACCAACTAAACTGTTTAATTTGGAACTGTTGATCATAATTAAATATAGACTTATACTTATTACGCACAGTTTACGCACTCTCGTTGTTCCAAGAAATGTTCTTCTTGCGCCCAATAAATGTTATTCTTGGGCGCACGAGAGTGCATAAACTGTGCACAATAAGTATACGTCTGTATTTAATCATGATCAACATTTCAAAATGAAACAGATTAGGGTGGAGAAAAAACCTAAACATGAGTTGGTTTTACATTTTATCTACATGAATGGATCCCATCCATTGTGCTTTCCATTAAACTAAGACAGCACCCATCGTTACGCAGGTATGCATCTCATGTCAGAAGGGAATGGCCACCTACCATTTATCATTTTCTATAGGATGTTCTTCAGACGAGAAAATCCCTGTCCTCGGGAGCCAGCAAGAGCCACGGGAGTTATTCATGGTCGGGCTGCGTACATTGTATCCAAACGGTAAGTCGCCTATTTGGGTGTTTAAATATGGTTAAATGGAAAAAGTCAACGCGTTGGCAAGCGGACCCAGGATGTGCCGTGGTTTTCCCGAAGATCCGTGGTTACCAACATTGCTGAATTCCCGTTGGCGTCTTTAGTGTCCCTCTCCGTCATGGGTTGCTGGCGGTGGGCTTAGGATTTCACCAAACTCCAGTCCCATCAAGTCGAGAAAAACTTCCGCGATCAATCACCTTTTCAGTTTCTTTCGGTTTCGTTGGAGAGAAACTATAGGCGCAGGGTAGCAATGTGGACAGGTTTAGGTTAGATGCGCCCCAACTAGTGGGGTATGGACACTTTAGAGACCTCGAAATAATTTGGGCAAAGTGTCATGCGTAATAGTAGAATAATGCTGAAACTTTTGTATTCAAACTGTTGCATTCAAGTCAAAGGATTGTATTGTGAACTTACTCTGAGTATACCAAACATTAGGAACACCTTCCTAATATTGAGTTGCATCCCCCCCCTTTTGCCTTCAGAACAGCCGTAATTTGTCGGGGTTTGGACTCCACAAGGTGTCAAAAGCGTTCCACAGGGATGCCGACTCATGTCGACTCCAATGCTTCCCACAGTTGTGTCAAGTTGGCTGCATGTCCGTTTGCTGGTGGGTGTGAAAAACCCAGCAGTGTTGCAGTTCTTGACACATTGCAAACTGGTCTCAGAGCATTTCGTATTATTCTGTAAGTAAATCTGAGACACTCCGTTTAGTATGATATGTTAAGTTTGGTATTGTTACATAAGACAGATGGTTGCAGCAACAAAAGATGGGTGGTTGGGTGGGCATATCACGCAAATGTCTAGCAACCTAAAGGTTGCGAGTTTGAATCTCGTCGCAAACAATTATAGCTAATTAGCAACTTTTCAACTTCTTACTACTTTTTAGCTACTTTTTAACTACTTAGCATGTTAGCTAACCCTTCCCCTAACCCTAACCCTTTTAGCTAACCATTCACCTGACTAACCTTAACCCTTTAACATAACTCCTGAACTTAACCCTAACCCCTAGCCTAGCTAATGTTAGCCACCTAGCTAGAATTCGTAACATATCATACATTTAGCAAATTCTTAACATATTGTACATTTTACGAATTCGTAACATATCATACGGATAATAATTTGTAACATGTCATATGAAATGGGTGATGGACATCCACCAATTAATAAATACCATACGAGACGTAACATACTGTATCATACTAAATGGAGTGTTTCGGATTTACATACAGAATAATACGAAATGCTCTGAGAGCAGGTTGCACAAATCGATGCAGCTGGCACCTACTACCACACCCAGTTCAAAGGCACTTCAATCTTTTGTCTTGCCCATTCACCCTCTGAATGGCGCACATACACAATCCATGTCTCAATTGTCTCAAGGCTTAAAAATCCTTCTTTAACCTGTCTCCTCCCCTTCATCTACACTGATTGAAGTGGATTTAACAATTAACATCAATAAGGGATCATAGCTTTCACCTGGTCAGTCTATGTAATGGAAAGAGCAGGTGTTCTTAATGTTTTGTATACTCAGTATGTGATCTGTGAGCCAACTCATCTGACTATCATTGACATGCCAAATAAAGATCTGGGAAGATGTTTGTTTTCTTAAGCAGATATCTTATATCAAGGCACTTAATTGGTCAGGTTGGTTGGTCGATCCTCTGGAGCAGATTTAAACAGTTGTAACACATACAAAAGCAGTGCATTATGACTAACTATTAGTTATATTATTTTCGGACAATCGATATTTGACTTCGTTTTTGTTCTTTTTCTACTGTAGGTAGCGTTAGCTAGCGCTAGTCAGCTGTACCTGCGCCAAAACTCTGGAATTTTTCACCCTATAGCTTGTTCTCCATCTTCTTTTTAAATAGTGAGCCAACATGTTTGTTATGTTCTGTTCATCACTGATGTCCCCTTTAAGAACGGAGCACCCTTGGTCATGCGCAGTGTTGGTCTATGTTATTCTTAGTAAATGTGAAGCTCCAGTTCACTTCAGTCTTTCTTATTATATCCATTAGTAATTTACATTTTAGTCATTTAGCAGACGCTCTTATCCAGAGCGACTTACAGTTAGTGAGTGCAAACATTTTACATACTGATAATAATAAGAGCTAAGACACTACAATGGTGACGAGGATGATTTCCTACAGTGTGCATCACGAATGCAGATGGAGCTGGTAGAAAGAGAGGAAGGTTTTGACTGTAGCGCAGCAGCTAGCAAGCAGTGACGACGAGGGGAGTGCTGACGAGAACGAAGCGGCAGATCAAAGACCCCAAGGTAAAGAGAATGGCCAGCATCGGGAAAATAGATGTGTTTGATGACACGCAAGAAAACTGGGCAACTTACATTGAACGACTGGAACAGTACTTCATTGCAAACAACATTGCTGATAACAAGAGAGTACCAGAGTTATTGAGTTTGATTGGCCCAAAAATGTACAGTTTGCTAAGAGATCTGACTGCCCCTCTGAAGCCCTCCAATAAAACATTCACCGAGAAACACTTGCTGAAGAAATACGACATTGTTTTTGGTGATCAGATGGGAACAGTAAAAGGCTTCACAGCCAAACTCGTACTGAGAGATGATGCAACCCAAAAATTCTGCAAAGCCAGATCTGTTCCATACTCCCTGAGACCAAATGTGGTAGCAGAAATCGATCGCTTGCAGGATACAGGGATCCTGACGAAAGTGGACAGAAGCGAATGGGCCACACCCATTGTTCCTATTGTAAAGAAAGACGGGTCTGTTAGAATGTGTAGGGATTTCAAGGTAACTGTGAATTCAATGTTGCATGTGGACCAATACCCTCCGCCACGTCTGGATGACATCTTTGTTGCACTAGCTGGTGGGAAACACTTCAGTAAAATCGACCTGAAACAGGTTTACCTGCAGCTACCGGTTGAAGAGAGCTCCAAACCGTACCTGACAATAAACACACACAAAAGTCTATACAGGTATAACTGCCTGGTTTTTTTGACATTGCATCGCCCCCAGCCATTTGGCAACAAACTATTGACCAGATTTTGCAAGGAATCCCAGGAACCCAGTGTATTCTGGATGGCATGATCATAACAGGAAGCACAGATAAAGAGCACCTGGCTAACCTGGAAAAGGTCCTGAGAAGACTGAAAGAGTACGGGCTACAGGCAAACTTACAGAAGTAGGAGTTCTTCAAAGACAAGATAGTCTTCTGTGGACATGAAATCGACCGCAATGGATTGCACAAAACACAGGACAAAATGTATGCAGTGGTACAGGCACCACGACTGCAAAATGTGACAGAAGTGAGATCTTTCACTGGACTGATCAATTACTACAGAATATTCCTCCCAAACCTTTCAGCAGTAGTCCAGCCTCTCAATCAGCTCCTGAAAAATAATAGGACATGGCAGTGGACAGCACAGTGTGAAAATGTGTTTCTTGAGGCAAAACGGCTCATCACATCTAAACAGGTCCTGATGCATTACGACCCCGAACTGCCAGTGAAGTTGGCTTGTGATGCGTCCCCTTTGCGGCCCTCCTTTCACACACACTGAAAGATGGGTCAGAGAGGCCAGTGGCCTTTGCGTCATGAACGTTGAATGATGCAGAGAATAACTACTCACAAATCGACAAAGAAGCACTAGTGTGGAGAATTAATCAATTTCACACATACCTATATGGGAAGCGTTTCACACTGGTGATGGATCACCAGCCATTGCTTTCCATTTTCAGTCCAAAGAAAGGTATTCCGGCAATGACAGCGGCCAGATTACAGCGTTACGCCTTGTTCCTTGCCGGTCAAATGTATGACATTGAGTTTAAGCCGTCGTCCCTCCACACAAATGCAGATGGATTATCCAGACAGCCCTGTACAAGAGAAAGACAAAGGAGTCTGGATGCAGTGGACATTTTCCATACCTCTCAGCTCGAGGCACTACCTGTCACAAGCACAGTTATCAAATGGGAGACAAGGAAAGATGTGACATTGTCAAAAGTATACACCTACACCATGTTAGGATGGCCAGCTACAGGCAGAAAGGAGCTGACACCGTATTTCCAGTGGTGAAACGAAATTACAACGTACCAAGGATGTTTGATGTGGGGAATGAGAGTCATGATACCCCAGAAATGCCAACATCAGGTTTTGCAGCAACTACATGAAGGGCATGTTGGAATTGTATAAATGAAGCTGCTCGCAAGGAGCCTCTTCTAATGGCCCGGTCTGGATCAACAGATAGAAAACATGGCGAAGAACTGTAGCGGATGTTAGGAAGTCCTTCACATGCCTGCTCCTGCCCCATTCCACCCATGGGAATGGCCCATAGAGCCATGGCAGAGAATTCATGTGGACTACGCCGCCCCCTTTGAAAAGGACATGTTTCTGGTTATGGTTGGTGCCCATTCGAAAT